GTGTGTGAGAGAGAGTGTGTGTGTGTGTGTGTGTGAGAGTGTGTGGGTGTGTGCAGACTGTCGTGAGGAACAGTATCCCTGCACTCGTCTCTATTCCGTCCATCAGCCGTGCAAACAGTGTCTCAACAGCATCTGCTTCTACAGGTCAGCACACACACACACTATTTGATTCACTGTGTATTTGTAGTGCTGTCAGAGCATTAATGGCGTGTGTGTTGTGTTCAGTCTGCGGCGGGTGTACGTTCACTATAAAACATCCGGGTGAACAAAGCACTTCCTCTTGCCTGAAACGCCTCAGTTCATCCCGAGTGACAAGAGATGGTGACGGTCATCATTCGGTCTCATAGATCCATAGTTATAGTCATAACTTACGATCTATTTCGACCTCACTCAGACCGTCACCACGGTCTTACCTTGAATGACGCCATTCTGCTACCCTTCCGAGACCTAATGTAAACAAAGTCAGGTGACTGACCCTGAGTGGTTGGTTCACTATAAAACATCCGGGTGAACAAAGCACTTTCTCTTTGCCTTCTCGCCTCTTCTGAGACCGGTTCGAAGAATCCGCGCGTATACGCTGATATTGGAAAATTACCCATTCAATCCGTCACTATAGTGCAGGCGCCTGGTGCCCCTGAGGATTGCGGTAATTTTTCTTTTTTTCCCTATATATTTAGGTAAGTGGTTGTTGTTTATATTATTCTGAATTACGAGTTGATATTTGTTTACAGATAGTATTCTGGTGCTTTTGGAAGCATACGGATTGGTAAGTAGTTTGTTTTTGTGCTATTATTCATAAAACTAAAGGAGGATTATTAATTTTTTTTGTTTGGTTCCGCTGTTCGCAGCGGGGGGATTTTCCGACCTGTTGATCTGTGCGTTCGCGCATAGAATAGGTGTCGGTACCTCCTAATTGATCTAGTTTGTCTTTTTGACTGAACAAACTGAGAATTGATATGCTTGCACTGTGATACTACTGGTTGCAGTGGATTGAGGCTAAAACCGCCCCTCAGTTCAATGCTGGGTGCAGGCGCTTTGTCAAAATACAGTATGCTACAGAAACAGGCATGGGTGGTATGCCAGCAGTGGAGCGTGAAATGGCAGCATTAACACCTCTAGGTGCAGACCGGGTGACTGATGACCCCCGGTGTCCCAGGAAAGAATGTGAGAACACCGATAATCTGGTGTGTCGGACCTATAATGCGGCCACACGTGCAGCCCGGTCTGGTAATGCTCTAGCCGGATAGAGTTGGCGCAGTTTCAAAAATTATTGGGGATGATATCAGCGGCAATAAAAGTAGTGCCTCTTGGGTTGCTCAAAGCACGACCACTACAGTGGTGGATCAACAAGTTTCAACTCCACCCCAAATTACACAGGCGAGTGAGACTGAAGGTCACATGGAAATGCATTCAGGCCTTGCACCCCTGGTTGAGCAAAAAAAAAATTGGGCCAAGGGGTCCCTCTGGGGAACATACCAGCAAGGAGGATGGTGGTGACAACGGACGCGTCTCTGACTGGTTGGGGGGCTGTCTTGCAAGGCAGGACAGTGAGGGGCTCATGGGCGTTTCCCTGGAACATGGAACATATCAATGTGTTAGAGTTAAGGGCAGTTTACATGGCCTTGAAACGACTGATTCCTTTTCTGCAAGACAAGCATATCCTGGTGAGAACCGACAATATGTCAGCAGTTTATCATATCAATCATCAGGGAGGCACCAGGTCATTGCGTTGCCTCCAGGAGTCCAGGAGACTTCTGTTTTGGGCCCATCCAAGACTCAATCAGGGCAATCTACATACCGGAAGTAGTGAACCGGGCGGCCGATCTCCTCTCTCGAACAGGGCCTCCCCCAGGGGAATGGCGCCTGCATCCAGAGGTGGTAGGTCTGATATGGGACCTGTTTGGGAGAGCTCATACCGATCTGTTTGCATCAGCCGAGACAACTCATTGCAAGACGTGGTTTGCGATGAGCAACCAGGGTGGACCTTTGGGCTTGGATGCACTGTCTCACGAGTGGCCGGGAGGATTGTTATATGCTTCCCCCCCCCTGCCATTGATTCCTCATGTGCTCAAGCGTGTGGAACTGGGTCATTACAGGATTGTATTGATTGCACCGAGATGGCCAATGAGACATTGGTTTCTGCTTCTTTTACGTCTAGTACGAGGCCATCACTGGCCATTACCAATCAGAGCAGACCTTCTCACTCAGGTGGAGGGTACTAGTCATCCAAGGTAAGACCGTGGTGACGGTCTGAGTGAGGTCGAAATAGATCGTAAGTTATGACTATAACTATGGATCTATGAGACCGAATGATGACCGTCACCATCTCTTGTCACTCGGGATGAACTGAGGCGTTTCAGGCAAGAGGAAGTGCTTTGTTCACCCGGATGTTTTATAGTGAACCAACCACTCAGGGTCAGTCACCTGACTTTGTTTACATTAGGTCTCGGAAGGGTAGCAGAATGGCGTCATTCAAGGTAAGGCCGTGGTGACGGTCATCATTCGGTCTCATAGATCCATAGTTATAGTCATAACTTACGTTCACTGTCTGGTCCTCCGGTGAGCGCAGGCGTGTGACGTCACGGGTTCTCTCCACAGCGGATGTATGGAGTCAAAATAATGCCACATATATATGCAACATAATAAAGTTTTGCAAAAGAAAATAAAGTTTTGCAAAAGAAAATAAAGTTTTGCAAACGAAAATAAAAGTATTGAGAAAAAATAAATGTGTTTTTGCAAACAAAAATAAAGAATTGCAAAATATAAATGAAACGGCACAAAAGCAATGATTTTGCAATACATATTTTCCATGGCCATATCTACTAATTTATTTGCAACGCTGCTTTTATTTTGCGTTTCAGTCAAGTTTGAGCTTGCATACCGTTTTCCCTTTGCGCTTCAGGTTTCTGCGCGTCTCGCTTTGTGGCACTGTTTTGACATGGGGGTGGAGTCAAGGGACGGGGGCGGGTACAACAGGCCTGGGCACGCCTCCCTGGAAGTGACGTCATCGGCCCGAGACGCAGCTCACTGATCCAGGCACCATCGCTGAGCAGAGGCATCCTTTTATTCTCTAGCATTAAAACATTCATGTTTTCGTTTTATTAAAAAATGCATATGTGTATTAGCAGTGTTTGCTCAAGTTAAAGAAGTTGTTAACATGAACATCTGCTGTTTACTTCTCTCATCTGGAAAATATGTATTGCAAAATCATTGTGTGTGTGAGAGAGTGTGTGTGAGTGTACTAATGTGACATTTCATCGAGTGAATATTTATTCAAATATGTTCACATGTTATAGACAACTAATAAAATCAAATTTATTTTTTTTTTTCTCCAAATGTAACGTGAATGTAATTTCTTGGATTTAAATATATGGAGGACAAAACATATTTTAAAATTATTTTAAAAATATATATTTATATTTTTAAGTTATATTTTTGAAGATGGAAAAAAATGCACAAATATGTATCGTAGAAAATATATTTACCTAAAAACTTTTAATATTTATTTTTTGTATATCTTGAGGGTTAAATATATATTTAAATGATATGCTTACAAATTTTATATATATATATATATAAAATTATTTTTTGTGTCTTGCATGAAAAATTAGGCGTATATGGCTGTTTCTAGACAAGATGTGGATTGGTGACATTGTTCCGCAAACACGTTTTAAAGACGAACCCCAGAGGAAGGCCAGTGTGTAGTTTTGCGGTCGTAGCGTTCAGTGTGATCAATATGATATCAATACAGATCATAAAATCATAATAACTAGTAGTAGTTCAGTAGATATGATACTGTTTTTGAAATCAAATCCTAGCATAAGCTATGACAGGAAACACTGGCATCTAAGAATGGCTTGGAAAAACAGTTCATCTTAAAAAATCTTTTCTATGTTAATCTGAGTTTTTGTCCTAGCTAGCCGCGACACGCGACATTTCTATTTTAGAAACGGTTTCTATTTAAAGTAAAATAATAAAATAGAAGGCTCCGAGTGATACTAAATAAAGAGCCATTTGGGAGCCGTAAGAGCCAAATCTTTGAAAAGAGCCGAACTTTTTGTTGCCGAAATAGCGCAAAAACAGGCAATATGGCGTCTAA